TTAAATTTTTCAAGTTGACTTCCAAATGACCTTGAAGGTCATGGCCAAGATCAAATTCAAGGTCACCATCGAGTCCGTTGCTCAATTTTCTACAACTTTTGTATTTAAAGTTTTTCATGAAAACTTAATCCTGCAAAATTATTCGGGAGGTCCGGTATTTTTAAGACAGTCTGTATATCGATGGATTTGATATTAAACGCTCTTAAATTTTTGTCCTTATAAAAACTCAAAAATTTGCAAAGGTAATGGAGAGGAGGGAGGAGGAGGGGGTAAAATATTGCATTTTGAAACATTTGAATAGACCGGTGGAAAGAGTATAAAATACTATAAAACTTTTGTCTGAAAGACTTTTTCATATACTTCATATTTTAAGAAATATTAAATAAAAACGAAAAAGTCCGTTTTTTTCAAACAATTTCGACCTCTAAACATCGAGATAAGCACATAAAAGAATACGTATCTAATGCTTTTTGATGCTCTATAAAATATCCAATGCTCATCAAAATCAATGAAGGACGGCCCCGACTCTTTCCTTGTCAACGCGCAACAAGGCGATCATAATCAGTGATAGCAAATTTCAGCCTAGCGGCTCCGCGGCCACACGCAGTGGGCTAGAATATTTCTAAATGTGGCCAAAAGTCAATATCCGCATTGATCTAAAATAAATTTATTATTGTATTAGAATGTTTGAAAATAGTTATAAGAGAAATGTTACGTTGATTGGATTGTTTTTTTATCAGTCTTAATACGATGAAATTATAAAATACATTAACACTTTTTTTCATTTTCTTTACTTTATCGTTCATATATTAAACAAATATATATTATTTTTTGGACCTTTAGTTAACGAATATGATGAACAAAGATTAAGAATGAAAAATATATAAAATTGGAGGAAATAAAAATAAATTATAATATATTACATTCTCTTTTATTACATTATTACAAGTATATTAATCATAACTACTCATTTCCGATTTACCATTCCCCGTAATTTCACTTTCAAGAAGGAGCATTCTAAGTTATATATGCTGCTTATGATATATATTTTAAGAAAAAGTTTTTGCTACTTTTTGATACTTTTGTTACATAACGTAAGCAAACTTAAGTAAACAAGTCATCGCCTATATCTAAAGGCTCGTACTGTTACACTGCGATATTAATTAGCAAGTCAGTTTGTTTACATATGTTTGCTTACGTTATGTAACAAAAGTAAAGCAATTTTGGGGGGGATCAACTTTTTTTTTTTTTTTTGGTGACGCAGGGGAAATCCATCATGGATACCCCCTCCCCTTGGGGGGGAGGGGGTTATGTCGGACTCTTACCGACTAAAACCTCTGCGGGATGTCTACCTGTCGGGCCGTTGGGTGGGAAGTTGGGGGAACTGCTCCCGCATTCCCTCTCCAGCCCCCCAGCCCCCAGGGCTCTCCGGGAGCCCCACGCCATCAATGCACCGCGCCCTGTCCCACTGAGGGAGTCCAGGGCGCGGTCCCCGGTGGGTTGCCCTACCGGTTGGCCTTCTGGTCACGCCTATTAGGAGGAAGGGGACATCCACCCCTCCTCCTTTACCCTTCCCCCCCTTTTGTTAGGGGGGGAGGGTTTGGGGGAGTGGGCCCGGCCCCAACCGGGACACCACTCCCCCTTTCCCTACCTATCCGACCTCGCGGGGGGGATCTAGGGAAACCTAGTCCCCCCCGCCCGGTCGGTGGCGAGCCCGAGGCGGCCGAGGAGTCCCCGTCCCGTCCCTTTGGACAGGTGAGTCCTCCTCGGCCGACGCCACCTCGGGCCCGCTGCCGATTCCTCCTCTTGGGCATCGTCGACCGGTGCGTCGCCCCCTGCGACGCACTCCCGGTCGACGACCCCACTCCGCGGCCTCCTTCTGCGAGATGACCTCTCTGCAGACGGAGGCCGCTGCGTCCCACACTGCCTCGCTCCCGCACATGGCCTTGACCATGCGCGGGAGCGAGAGCTTCCCCCTTCGGCACCCCACCGCCCCCTCGAGGGCACGGCGCTCCCCGTCCCATGCGGAGCATGCGGACAGGGTATGGTGCGCCGTGTCCTCGAGTATGGGGCAGTGGTGGCACCGAGTGGTGGGCTCCTTTCTTATCTGGTGCAGATACCGACCGAAGCAACCATGCCCGGTCAGCATCTGCACCAGGTGGAAGGTCATTCCACGTCCCCTCCTGCCCGTCACCTCAGACAGGCAGGGGCGGACAGCCGCGGCCGTCTTGAGACCGGACCCCCTCGGATCGGACAACTCGTCCTTCCATTTCCGAAGGGTCCGGTCCCTGGCCTGGAGTTTCAGGCCCCTGAGATCCCTGGCCCTGAGCGTCCCCTCCGCGCGGAGCTCCTTCACCCGCCAATAAAGGAGTGATCTCTCTTCAGCGAGGAGCTCCACGGGAGGGACGCCGGCCAGGGTGGTCGCCGCCATGTATGCCACGGTCCTATACCCCCGGATCGCCCTTATTAACACTGGCCTCAAGGCCTGCCGGAGGGAGCGCTTTCCCCTTCGGCAGACCAAGAGGCTGGGCGCCCCGTAAAGAGCGATCGAGAGTACGGCCGTGACATACAGGCGGCGTGCCATCCATCCTGGGCCCCCTGGACGCGCATAAGGCTGGCCACCGCTAAGCCTGCTTTGCGCACCCGGGGGGCCAGGTTCCCGAAATGGGGCCCGAAACTCCAACGGCTGTCCAACGTCAGGCCGAGATATTTAATCGTCGGCCCGACGTGGACGTGGACGCCATCCACAAGGACCTGGGTCTCCGGGGGCGCCCCTTGACCTCGGCCGTAAAAGTATACGGCCTCGATCTTCTGGGGCGCCACCGAAAGGCCCAGGTCCTTTATGGTGCCCACCACCGATGCCAGTGCCGCCTCCGCGCGGATGCGGGCTTCCCCCCAGTTCTCCCCCCCGGCCTCCACTAAAGTGTCATCTGCGTAGCAGATGACGTGGCAGCCCGGGGAGAGCGGAGTTCTTAGCACCCGGTCGAACACGATGTTCCAAAGCAGGGGGCCCAGAACAGACTCCTGCGGAACACCGCGCTCCATCGTGCTCCGGCCTTGGACCCCGCCCTCCACCGGGAAGGCGAGGTCCCTGTCCCCGAAGTAGGCCGCGAGGATGCGAGGATAGGCGGGCACGCCGTGATACACGAGCGCCCGTCCTATCTCCGGCCACGGTAGGGTGTTGAAGGCGTTCTTAATGTCCAAGGACACCGCCAACAACACCCCGCCGTCCCCCTCCACGACCACCCGGGTCAGGCCCCGGAGACACTGGATCGCGTCCAGCGTCGATCTCCCGGGCCTGAACCCGAATTGGCGATCGTGGAGGTCCGGCCCCTCCGAGGACAGATGCTGGACGAGGCGGTCGGCAATGATGCGCTCGAGCAACTTGCCCGCCTCGTCCAGCAGGCATATCGGCCTATAGGCCGACGCACTGCCGGGTGCTTTGCTCTCCTTGGGAAGGAGGACCAATTTAGCCCTCCTCCACTCTGGGGGGGAATACCCCTCCCTGAGGCATCCGCTTAAAACCCTGCGCGTGGCCGCGAATAGGTTTCCCTCGTCGAGTGCGAGGGCCCAGGCGCGGCCAGGAATCCCGTCGGAGCCAGGGGCTTTACCCTTGACCCCGAGCCTCTTCCTGGCCCTGGCGAGCTCCTCTGGACTGACCTTCAGACCCTCATCCCAATCTCCCTCCCCCATTTCCGAAGGAGGCATCACGGGTGGGCCCCCTTCTGCCCTCGGGAAGAGGGCATCCAGGAGCCCGCTGAGGGTCCGGCGGTCCATTTGTTCGGTCGGTGGGGGCGCCCAAGGGCGGACCTTCCCGGTCACCCTTTTGTAAGGGCGCCCCCACGGATCGTCGTCCAGGGAGCTCACCAATTGCTCCCAGGTCGCTCGTTTCGCCTCGGCGATGGCGGCTTTCAGGGCCTTCCTCGCTCGGAAATAGTCCCCTCTTGTCCCTGCGACATCCCCACCATCCCGCCGGGCCCGCATCAGCAGCCTCCTGGCCGCCGTGGCGGAGCTCCGTAGCCGTTCCAGCTCCTGGCTCTACCAATACGTGGCCCGGCGAGAGCGGGGGCGGCGAGATCGGGGCATCGCGACGTCGCAACACGACGTCACGATGCCCACTATTTCCTCGGCCCCTTTGCAGGGGTCGGGGTTTTCCCACCCCCCTGGCACCTCCCCGAGGTGCCAGGATGCCGCAAGGGCTGCCGCCTGAAACCTATCCGCGTCCAGTTGATTAAGGGCCCATCTTTTGGGGAGAGGGGGTTCCCTCTCCCCAGGACGGCGGATGAGCACCTGCTGGGGTCTGGAGAGGCGGAGGGTCCACACTATGTATCTGTGATCAGACAGTGTCTCCCCCTCCGCCTCCACCTTCCATTCCTGGAAAACCCCGCGGCCGAGGGGATCGCCCAGGTCAAATCAATGACCGAGGCACCGCCCCCCTCGGCCGCACGCAGGTGCTCTCTGAGCCCTCATTCATCAGGATGAGGCCCAGTCCCGCCGCCCAGCCGATCACAGTGTCCCCCCGGCGGTCCTGTTGCCGGGGACTGCAACCCCACCCATCCGAGTGGGCATTGAAGTCCCCGGCAATTATGACTGGTCGGGGATGGCACTTTCGCACCAATTCCCTGACCCTGTCCAGGACCGCCTTAATCGGGGCGGAACGACCGAGACCGGCTCTGTTTCTGCGGTGGGGAAGATATATCCCCACCACCGTGATGGGCCCCCAGTCAACTGCCACGTACGAGGGCCCCGATTCCCTGAATGTACAGGGTGGGGCCCCCGTTACAGGGTTTGCCACCAGGGCCACCGAGCCATCCGGACCACCGAACCAGTTCGGACTACAAACCGGGATCCAGAGCGGCTCGGTGACCACCGCCAGCCCGGCACCCAGCTCAGTCGTCCTCTGCATGCAGAGGTCCTGAGCTCGAGTGCCGTGGCCGACGTTGGCCTGTAGGACCCGGAGTGGCGTGAAGGCTAAGCCGTTCACGCCTCCTCCGGGCTGCCTACTTCAGTCCCCCCCAGATCCTCCTCCGACGGTTGGACCGTCTCGGATTTCCCGGGGGAGACTTCGGCCGTGGTGGCCTCTTTAACGGATACCTCCGTGGAGTGTCGGGGGTCCCTGCCTGTGCGGGTTCCTCGTCTCGGGAGTACGAGGAGGAATCGGCAACCTGGGAAGATGGGGGTGGCGTTCCCTCCATCTCCCCTTCTTCTAGGGTCGTTGGGGGTGGGCTCATGGGCTCCACCCTCCTCACCTTGGAGTCCTCCTTCTCAGTGTTCTCCGTCCGAGGGTCCAGATTCTCTCTTTCCTTCCTCTTCCTTCCGGCTACTGTTGGTGGTACCTCCTTCCATCCTTCCACAGCTTCTGGTTCCCAGTCAAGCTGGCTGGACTGTTGGTCCTCCAGGTTTTCCTCCAGAGTGAGTAACGGCGCTTCCGCTGCCCCCACACCCTGGTCCATCCTTGGGGAAGAGGTCTCTTCTCCTTCCTTTGGTTGTTCCGGTATCGGATGGGCAGGCGTGTCGGCGACGACCTCCCGAGTTCCCGTCACCATCTCGCCCCCCTCCCCTCCCGGTCCTCCTTTCTTCTTCTTCTTATTTTTCTTCCCCCGGGGGGGGGCCGCAGGCAGGCCCTCCGATCTTATGACCGGAGGGCCTGCCCGCCTCGGCGCAGACGGGGCATTTTGCCGCCCGCTCGCACTCCTTGGCGCGGTGGCCGGGGTTACCGCAGCGATAGCAGAGGTCGCTGCAGTCGACGGCGCTGGTGCACCGCTCGCGCACGTGCCCCGGTAGTAAGCATCGGAAGTACAAAACCGCGCGAGCGGGCAGCGCCGTCACCCCGGCACGGGTCCACCCAACGTGGACCCGTTCCGCGGCGGCGACCTTTGCGGCCACCGCCAGCGGACACCGCACCACTAATGCGTCCGTCCCGCGTTGGGTGACGCTCATCTCACCCGGGGATATTTCCTCGGGTGAGCATCTCCCAGCGCGGACAACGGCGGCCGTCACTTCGTCGGCCCCGGTTGTCGCGTCCAGGCCAGCCAGTCGCAATGCCGCAACCTTTACCGGCCTCTGGACGCGAAAACCGGGGCCCGCCTCCGCCGCCAGCTTACGGAGCTCGTCCGCAAGCCGGTCGGCGGAAGCCCCGACGTCGAGGCCAGGCACCTCAACTAACATCGCCCCGCTCAGGGCCCGGCGGGTCCTTTAGGGACGTACCGATCCTCAGGAATAATGCGGCGCCTGGCCTCCGCCATAAAATCGACGTATTTCCCTTCGGGGCATGTAATCGTGACGGCCGCCGAGCGCGGCGGCTTAGGTCTGCCTCGTCCGGCCACTGCGGCCCCCCTTCCCCCGGATCCGGCCTTTGGAGGAGGGGTTACTCGGCCAACCGGGCCGTTCATCCTCTTCTCCTCCTTATTCTTCTTCTTCTGCTCCTTCCTGCCTACCACCTGGGACCAGGTTTCCGTCGGCTCCTGGCCGAGGTGGAGCGCCCACCCTAACGCCTTCTGGGATGTGTCCAAACCTGCTTTCAGCAGGTCCTTGGCCGCGACTCCTCTTCCTCCCTCTCGGACCCTCTTCTCCTCTTCCTCCTTTTGAAGCCTGGCCCTGGCTTTCCTCCTTTCTTTGTTCCTTTTCTTCCTTTCTTTCTTGCCCTGCCCCTTAGATGCCTCCAGGACTGTCCTCTCTTTCCTAGCAGGGGCCTTTCCTTTCTCCTCCTTCCCTGTTCCCATGGGACGGATAGGTGAGATCCCCACCGCCGCAGCTGTCTCGCCTCCCGGACTAGCAGCCGCGAGGCGGTTGATAACGGCTAAAAGCCTATTAACCCCCGCTCCGCAGCCGCAGTCCGGGAACCGGGCCAGCATATCTGCGTCCAGTTCCTTAACCGCCCCTTTGACCTTTTCCAGAGGGGGTGAAGCCTCATTGGTCATCTGCATGACGTCGTCGAGTATCGGCGGGGCATCTAAAGACACCCTTTCCTTTCCCGCCGTCCTAATGGATGCGGAAGCGGAAGAAGAGTCTATCCTCCTCTTCTTTTTCCTCCTCCTCGTTTCTTCTCTTCTCCCGCTCCTTCCTGCCCCTTTCCAATTCCTCGCTTGAGGCAACCGAGGACGACGAGCCCCCCGCCGCCTCCGCGTAGGAGAGCCTCCTGCTGCCTGTTGACCGGTGTGATGGAGAAGAGGCAGCCGCCGGAGGAGTCTTCGGAATCGACGAAACGACTTGTCGCTTCGCCGATTCCAGCTCCTCCGCCAGCCGCCTATTCTCCACCTTCGTCTTTCTAAGTTCTTCGCGAAGATCCGCCGCCTCCTTCTCGGCCAGGGTGATATCTCCCTCACCCTCTCTGCTTGCCACCCTGGCCATCAAGGTGGCGAGCACGGCCTCGGAGATCTCTACGGCACGATTCAACGCCCCCACGAAGGTCCCCTTTAAGGTATTGGACCTTCGTGAGACTAGTCGAATCGTGCCGAGGGCTCGACCGACCTCCGAGGCCAGCTCGCTCACCTTGGCCTCCTTCAGCAATCCTTTCGCGGCGCTGTCCTTAAAAATCTCCTCCATTGGGCGCTTGTCCCTCAGGGATCGGAATATGCCTGCGTCCAGGATGGCTTGTACCTCCTGTTCCAGCCTGGCCTGCTCCGCTTCTTTCCTCTTCTCCTCTGCTGCCGCCTTCTTCTCCCTTATGCCGACGCCCGCACCGGTGACCACGGGTCTGCCGCGACCCCTCTTCACCGGCTCGAGTGGCGGCCCTGTCGTGATAACGCAGGAGGCACTGCTGTTGCTGCTGCTTGTGCTCGCTTGCTCTCTCGTCCTCTTCTTCGGGCCGTCTCTCAATCGAGATACGGGGATCCTCGACCCCTGCAAGAGCAGGACATCGGAGAAGACCACCAGTCCACCGGTAGCCCCCTTCGACGCCCCCTTAGCCCCCGCAGGTCCCGAAGCTCCCGCATCCCGACTCCCCTCAAGGAGGGGTTCGTTGCTCCTATTTTTGGAACAGCGGGGGCCGGGTTTATCAGTCAGTATGGTGTTAAGACCCCCGGTCCCCTTTGCTCCAATGGTCCCACGTTGGGTGGCTGCTCGCTTTGGCCTGCCCGGCGAGCTCACCTCGCCACCTCCGCGGTCGGAGGAGTGTCTCCCCGAGGGCGGTCGACCCTCATTTGTTGGCCGCACCCTAGTGGCTAATCCACTGGGGCCAGCTAGCTCTTCCTCCCCAGGGGGCGGGGAGGTGGCACCGCAATGTCGATCTCCTACCACCTCTAAACCCCCCTTACCTACTTTGTAAAAATCACCCTCTGACGAGGGTGGTGAGTCCTCGGACGGGTTGCTACACCCATCTCTGCGGGACTTTGAGCCCGAAGGCTCGGAGTTTTTGTTTTTTGTAAATTTGGAAATCATTTTTGTTCCCACGAGTGCGGCAGGAAGTGGGCGTCGACCCCGGGCAGAGCCCCCGCATTTCCCGGGGTAAGACTAGCGTGTCCCCTGGGTTCGCCAAGTGCCCAGGGTGAGGAACTACTAGCGACAGGTCACGCACCTGCCATTCATCCCATAAGCGTGGCATGCCTCAACCGTAGGATTACGTGGTGTTTTATAGAGGACCCGCCTCGCGGTCCGGCCAATTAAGGCAAGACCCTCGGCCCCAGAGATATGACCTAGGGTTACGGTGTAGTAGGCTAGGGTCTGTCGGGGATGCCTGAGCCCCCTGTACCAGGATGCCGAAGCACCCTGGCCCCTCACAATTGTGTCAGGTTGTACGTCCTGACAAGTACGGGTTTCCAGTTAGGGTTTTCTTTCCCCTAGAACGGTTGCCTTCATCCGGCTCACAAGCCCGTTCTACCCGCGCTGTAGGGTCCTTTGGGTCACACTAGTACAAGTACCAGTGCGGCCCTCCGGTCCCTGTATGAAACTCGGAGGCAGCTGCCCCTCCGAGAGTGAATAAGGACGCTCTTAGTCTGGCCCCTCTGTACAGACCTCTCCGGCATGGTAGAACCTGCCAGGGACCGAAGCCCCCGCCGGCACAGCTCTGTACATCATCAGGGCACGCAAGCTCCCCCACCACGGCAAGGTGGCGTCCACGGGGGAGTGGGGGGGACCAACTTCACACTGGCCCCCCAACTTCCAGCAAATTAATCTTAAACCAACGAAATCGATAGATCTTTATTTGCACATTACGAATTAAATTGACTTTCTGTTTGCACACTTCTAGTTCAAAAGTTATTTAACATTAACTTTTGGCATATCCGTTATATGATAGCCACTACTGAAAATGTGCAAAAATGGATTATAATGAGCCCAATCGATAGATTTTCGTTTGCACATTACGAAACAGGTCGATTTTTCGTTTGCACATCTGTAGGTCAAATATTTTTTTAAATTTAGTCAGGGGGGCTAACTTCACACATGGCAATTTTCGCATTTTTGCAAAATTCTGACATGTGATGATGGCAATCAAAAGATCTTCGTTTGCACATTGCGAAACAAGTCGGCTTTTCGTTTGCACACCTCTAGTTCAAAAGTTATTTAACATTAATTTTTGAGATATTTCCTATACGGTGACTACCATTGCAAAATGGATTGTAATAAGAGATCTAATCATAAAAATTGATCTAATTGTGAAAATAGATCCTTTTTGTGCATTACGAGCTCTTAGTATTAGCCGGAATCAACGACAGGGACGTGGCTGGTGTTTGATTCCATCGGGATGCTTAATTATAATGAGTCCCCTTGCCTCTCACTTGTGAATATGTATGTAAAAAACTTTAATAAAATAATAAAATATACAACGTCGTACGAACATTAAAATGGAAGGATATTGCTTAATCAAAAAAAGAAACATTGCTTGACATTACAAAATAAAAGCATATTTAATGAAAAATAAAAACATTTTCCTTTAATAATATATAAAATATATGAAACATATATATTATAAACGTATATATCAATTTTATAAAAAATGTTTTTATGGACACTCTGTTAATTTTATGTAAGCTATGACACTTGGTTTAACTAATATGCGTGATGCTGTTGTTGTTTGTAGCGGTGTATATTTATATTTATTGACTCGTTGTCCAGGGTGATCGCCCTTCAATTATAAGGACCGCTTCATACAATTTATAAGTGCAGGTATTACGCGCTTTAGCTGATTAATTAACAAGTAAGTATAAATTAATAACATTTATATATTAATGATGTATGTACGTGACGCATATATAAAATATTAAAAAAAATATATATTTTCAAAGGTTATTATTATACATAACATAAGTTTTTATAAGTAAAACTTATCAAATTATTTTTTTTGTAAGATATAAATTTACAAGTAAAATTTATATAAAACTTACCTTTTTAAACAAAAAGGTAAAAAAAGGCGCCAAGTACAAGCGCAACACGTATTGTGTTATTTTTAGAAGTATCAAACTCAAATTATTTTTTTTAATGTATATATATGTGTATATAAATTTTTACAAGTGAAATTTATTTTTTGTAAGATATAAATTTACAAGTAAAACTTATATAAAACTTACCTTTTTAAACAAAAAGGTAAAAAAAGGCGCCAAGTACAAGC